TGTGCCCCTGAAAATCTCCCCCTAATTGACCATCCCGACACCATCCTCTCATAAGCTAGACAGCAGGGCCCCCACATTATCCTCGCTGGCGATTTCAACGTGCACAACACGGCTTGGTTGAACAGCTCGAAAACTACGCCTGCAGGCGAGGCTCTCAAAGATACCTGCTGCCCCTCTTCTTTTTCAGCATGTCACCCGTGGAGACAACCCGCTAGACCTCATAATGTCAACATTCACGTCCCCAGTAACTACTCGTACACTTCCACCCCTCGGTCGATCTGAACATGCAGACTTTTCTGATGTGCTCCATAGACGTAAACCCCCCCCCCCCCCCAGGGTTTTTCTACAACAGGGCAGACTGGGATCGCGTCAGGGCGCACCTTCGCAACGTGGAATGGGGTGATATCATCACTAAGGAAATTTCCTGTGAGCAAGTTACCGCTTCGATAACTGAAGCTGTTGCATAATTTTTCCCATCCAAAGTTCTGGAAACGAGGCCTTCCGATCCGGTATGGTGGACGCCTGAATGCACCCAGACCGAGAGGGAGAAGAAAAAGCGCTGGCGCGACCGGAGAAAACACCCTTATGACCCAGCACTTCAGCAGGCATTCACCAATTCCGTGACTGTAACGATCGCCACTCAGTTCCGATCACGACGTGCAAAGGAGGACAGCCTCTGTGGCGGCCTCTCAACTGGGTCCCTCATAGACAAACAGTGGTGGACGAAGTTGAAGAACGCCGCTAGCAACTGCACACAGCTCGAAATTCTCCTAATTGTCAACTCTGACGGCCCCGAGTGGGCAACGAGCTGAGGGAAAGCCGAGGCATTCGCTCGCTTCTTCTCAAAGAAATGTAGCGTTGCCGGTCCGAACCTTGTGGAGGCTGACCTACTGGACCCTGCTCCCTCAGATGCTCAACCTCTTTGCACCATCCGCTTCTGCCCAGAGGTTGTGCGCCGCCTCCTGGCAAAGATCGACATCTCCAAGGCTACAGGGCCTGACAGTATTTCTGCTTGCGTCCTTAAGGAATGTGCTCACAAGCTTACAGAGCCACTGTCCAAGTTATTTGCCTTATGCTTCCGGTCTGGAGTCCGACCTAGGACGTGGAAGACGGCCAGCGTGGTTTGGATCCACAAGCGATCTTCCCGCTCAACTACAGGCCCATTTCCTAACTGTGCATAATCTCGAAAAATCATTTTGAGGACCACCATCTGCTCACGTCGCACCAGTTTGGATTTCGCGGAGGCCTCGGAACATCAGACACTTTGCAAGCTCTCCAAACTGCCTGGGCAAGCGCTGTGGGCTGTGGAGGGCGGCACGTATCCTTGCTGTGGACATCACAGGAGCATTTGATCGCGTCTCACATGTCGGCCTCCTCCACAAGATGCGTAGCCTAGGCATCAATGGTCTGCTTCAGAGATGGCTGGCCTCTTCCCTCGACACCCGTTCCTTACAGTGCCTCGTTGGAGGCGTACGTCATCTACGTACACAACCACCGCTGGAGTCCCTGAGGGAAGCATTCTTGGACCAAGACTTTTCAAGGCGTACATCAACGACACGCTAGATGTTCTCGCTGACGTCGACAGCCACAGCAATCCCTGGGGCATGAAATCGTTTTCGTCGTTCCCCTGCGCAGTTGTAGGTTCTTTTACGTCCAATTCCCTGCTCTCCCAGGGAGAGTATGGCTACCATAGATTTTGGTATTCTGGATAGCTAGGCACAGAAAGCCTAGCAAGGGCCAACAATGTGAACTTGGCCAGCCTCAGCCGAGTTCAGCTCGTCGGAGCACTCCGGGAAAAAACTCCAGCCAAATGATCGAGTAGCATTACAGACAGGTCTACCAATGGACCGACCCTCAAGCCGCCAGCATCAGGATGCTTGCGATCATGAATCAGCTGAGGGAGACAGTGCGTCTTCTTGTGGAAGATATTGCGGACCTGAAAAGTCTAACAGCCTCAAAAGAACAGAAAAAGGAAGCCATTGCGGACTTTCGAGAGGAGATTCGGGCTCTCCAGGAAAAGAACGTCTAATTCCAACGTGAAAGGAATAATCATCGGAGCCAGCTGCAGTACGTGCTAGGGGGGATTCCTTCGCATCCCGGATAGCCATTGAAGCACCAAGAGAGTCCCCAGCCCCCCCCCCCCCCAGTACGCCTTCTAGGCTGCGTTCGTTTTTAGCTTCCTGGTAGAGTAGAATCACTCTATCGATGGAGGTAGACGGTAGAGGTTCAGGGGTTTTACGTCAGGCCCTAGACGACGGCTACAAAGGCCAACTGGACAACAAAGAAGGTGACGCCTAAGAGAATGTTTTATGATTTTGCGCATGCTTATAATTTGATAGTGACGTCAGTTCGCTACAGTACTCCGCCGCCATTGGTGAGGCCGGGAGGCGCGAAGCATGATAAACAAGAAAAAGAGAGAAAAGAAAGGAAGCGCGGCATGTACAAGGCGGAAAGGCAAAAATAGAATACAATGTGTACAAGAGAGCGCTGCGTGTATGAAGTTTGTTGATAACGTGGCAGCAAAGACCAAAACAAAACTCAGAAAGCAGAAAGTGGAAAAAAGAGAGATGCATGACAGAGGCGGGAGTCAGAGTTGGAAAGAAAGAAAAGAGGAAATGTATGCGTGACAGAGGAGTGTTATCATGTAAGAGGCGGCTGCAACGTACCAGTCACTGAGTACAGGAAACACTGGGGCGAGGCGTGCCGTGTAAGGCGAGGACTGATGGAGGCGTGCGTACCTCCAAGTCCTGTGCCGGGCATATTCCTGCAAACTGATACTTGGGGTGGAGGTGGCCAATTTCCAGATTGAGGCCAGGATGAATACAAAAGATGAAAACGACTGAACGATGTGCTGTGACAGGATAGCGGGTTATCCAGGTGGGCCGGGAGGTCGGCAGGGGCCACACTAGCTCCGAGGCTGGATCCAGTTTCGAGATGGTGAGGCTCAAGTTTTACAGTCAACAGTCGGCGATTGACTGGATCCCGAGAGTTGAGGCGAGCAGGGAACTGCTGCAAGCCGAGCTCAGGGATGGCATGATGAAAACTCCGAAGAGCGCATGTCGGGGGTCACCAATTTAGGGTTTAACCCATTGACTGCTGAGCCCGAATATATTCGGGATTCAGGATGACGTCAGGGCGCTGAGCCCGAATATACTCGGGCTGACAGGCTATCCTACTGTACTAAGCTCCGAGTTCCAGCGTAGGGTTGCAAGAGACCCCAGAGTCGAGCGGTACATTTCCTGCATTCAAAACGAGAGGTTTCGGGTACGAATCCCGCTTGGATACTTTTTTTCTTCTTTTTCGTCCGGTGATTCGACTCAAATTGGCGACTTTTTCGTATTTTACGCAATTTGGATGAACTTACGTGTCATATAGCATTTTGTTCCCCTTTCTAGGATCTATATCGAGTTGGTCAGCATGATGATTATAGCCTTGGTCAACATTTCACAAGAGTTCAACAACCTAGTTTCTTAGATTATGAAGTTGTGGAGCTGTACATTGGCCATATTTTTAGCATTTTCTTCAGAGTCTCAGATAAAAGGCCGTGTAGCCCTCAATGGGTTAAGGGTTTTAGCAGTCCGAGGCGGATCCAGTGTCGAATGATGCTGAGATTCAAGTTTTATGTTACCGGCCGGCGATTGACGGCAACCCAAGAGTTGAGACGAGCAGGAAACTGCGGCGAGAGCTCAGGGATGGCAGGCATCGGGCACACTCCGAAGTGGGCAGCGTGTGGGGTCACATGTTTAGGGCCGTATGTTGCGCTCTAGTCGACGGCTACAATGGCCAATCGGACAACAAAGAAGTTGAGGCCAAAGAGATCGTTTTTTTCTTACGCCTGACTATAATGTGATAGTGACGTCAGGCCGATACAGAGGTATCTGTACGCGAATTTTTTTCTTCTGTATTGAGTTGTGTACAACTACAGTCTGTATCGGCTATTGAGTGACCGGATATAAGAATATATCGGCTACAGTGATATTGGTAAGAAATATCAAGAGCAATACACCACACCGCCACATTGCGCTCTTGGCCGATCCAAACTCTGCACTCACATCACCAACCCCACAGAAACAGATGTCTGGAGGGTCATTGTCAATATCAATCCATATACCGGAATTGTCCTCTTGTAATTTTCGCTGCTGTTATTTCGCTATCTTTCGCTGGTTTTGTAAACCTGAAACACTAACATGACATTTCGGAATCGTAGGAAAGCATGATTCATATATTGGAGAGCAGCAAGTCGTCACAGAGCAAGGCTGTCAACGCTGCAAACAAATAGGAGCGAACTTTTTTTCATTATTCGTCCACCTGGCGCAATGAGAAGAAACGCACTGCCCTCACATCTCGTTGTAGCTATTTTTCAGTTCAGACCTTGACAGATCAGGAAAATGGCACCCAGGAGCAAGAAGAGTGGAAATGAATAGCAATAGCAGCTAGCGTGTCGAAGCTTCGCCATGATGTCAAAACTCCATGGCTACCTGCAGTGGCCATGATCATCCTTAGCAGATGGATGGTCCTTCGTAGCTGTCTACATACAACGGTATCTGATACAAGGCTGCTCTGTGTTCTGCACGGGTTTCGGTACAGGGTGGATGAAGATCCACATTTTCGCTTACGTTGGTTGCGACCAACTCGTGAGCGTCATCAGGTATCGGTCATAAAGGGTGGGGAAGGGTACCTAAGATCAACCAACGAGATGCCACTGGGCACTGGCGGATAATCATCGAAAGGGTGGCAGATTCTGCTCGAAAAGCAGTGAAATTGGCAGAACGATACAAACCTTATGGCGAGCAATTTGTCGAATTTTGCTCCATTTCTTTATCCACATACCAAACATGCATGAAATTTACAAGAAAAAGTACCGAATTCTGCCAATTTTCTGCCGGCATGATCCGCAAATGCCTAGATGCCACATCCCGAAAACCCATTCGACACATCTTAAAAGAACAGAACTACGCCAAAAAAAGCCTTTTTACGATACATGCACAACATGACTTACAGGTATCTCAAATCGGTTGTCGCGTCAAACAGCCCGGCAGGTAGGTCAACAAGTTTATTCTCCCACAAATCTCTGGGAGAACAAAGTAGATTTTTGATAGGATGTATATCACTTCCTGGAAGAATCTCGTAATACTCTTTATACCGTGCTATACACATTTACCGCATATCAAAATAACAGAACTACGCAAAAATCTCTTTTCCGATATATGCACCCCATGACTTGGATAAGATGTACATTGTGTAGTATCCCTGCCTTGCTTGTAGCGTATCCTCGTACGCTAGCGTATCCCAATACGTTAGCATATGTGGTCTGTTGCCTATAAAAGCTGCTAGCCATTTCTGTTTTCATGAGATTTTATAACAACAACAAAGCCGGACAGAAGAGCTGTTCAACCTCCAGGTGTGTACCGGAGAAAGTTCTTTTTATTGTCGCTTCTTTTTTCGAAGAGAATTGGTGGGCACACATGCTCATTCCATGTGCACTGCAAATTCACAACTCATTTTCATTTCTCAGAATCATTTTCAACGTTTTTGGCAAATTGCCCTCATCAGGATGCTGTATGAAGTGGAAGTCTGCAAAGGAGAAGTTATATACATCAATTTGGTGTTCTTAGGTGTCATGCAGGTTCTCACACGTAACGGGAAGACTTCGTGGTAGTAAAATAGATATTTCGCAAAAAAATAAAAAAATAACTCTTTCTCTTCCTTTCGAAGAACCGAACTTGCCGAGCCTCACCGAAAGCAAAGTCTGAAAAAGCCCTACACTAGTACGGGATTCAGCGCAGAGCAAAACATAATTATGAGTCATTATACAATGCATGCAGTGTAGCCGTGAAAACTGGTGAATAAAGAATGCAGTAGGTTGGCAGCACGTGACCCGTTGTACCGCAGTACACGACGGCGTCGCGGCTTAGAAATGAAAGGAAACACTGCGAGAAAAGACAAAACGAAAATACATGTCCCTTTGTCAAAACTAACTTATTATTATTATTATTCACACATATCCGCCGGATGAGTACGCGTGGCCCATGCACCATGGGGCCCCACGAATACAAACCAGCATATGTTCCCTCAGCAATACAAGCATGCAAGCACGCAAAGATAAATGAGAGCCCAGGCAGCGAAAACAAAACGAAGAGAGATGAGGACATAGGCAACGAAAACAATTCCAAAGCATAGCCAGGGATTGAATGTGTGCATCTGGGTGCGACAGTTAATACGGCTAGTGGGGCCGGACAGAGGGCAGCAGCACGAAAATACAAAAGTGCCACAGCAGCAGCTAAGAGTGTGCAACCACTAAAAAAGAAGATCAGTCCATGAAAAAATTATTGTCGCCACAGGTAGACATCTCCGGCAAGAATGCATGCGTGCGCACGAGTAGGCAGGCAAGCATGTCAGATGTAATCGTATTATTATGGCCAGGCTAATTAACAGTGCTGTTTCGCAAAGAATTCCATCGGCATTTATCATGCGCCACCTTCCGAAGCTGGGCTAGGCCAGGTCGCGACAGAAGCACAAGCCCCAGCTTCTCCCGACAATCCAGTGAGAGAGTGGTTAGCAGTGTTGTTCTTGGTCTGCCTATCCTTCCCCGCAAGGCACCAGAAGCAGCAAAATCGAGAGCGACCTGTGGCGGTGCCCCTGATGGCATCCGGAGCACATGCCCCAGGAAGCTCCATCGCCTCGCCGCGATGTCCTTGGAGATGGGTTGGGTGCGACAGCGGTTGTAGAGTTCCGTGTTTTTGATTATATTTGGATACTTTATACGGAGTAGCGAGCGGGGGTGACGGCGGTGGCAAACGTCCAGAGACGTTCTGAGTGCCTCAGTGAGGCCCCAGGTGGCGCAGTTGTAAAGCAAAAGGCTTAGAACGTAGCAATTGTACAGCCTAAGCTTCAACGTTAGGGAGATCCCTGATGACTGCAGAAGGCTTTGCATCCGGCCAAATGACTGCGATGCCAGAACCATTCGGTGTTTGATGTCCTCGGCAGTACTAGCTCTCGATCCAACCGACTTTGCCATCCGCCTTTCCTCTTTCCCTCTTTTTTCCAGGTCTGCATCGAGGTAGAAGTGGGTCCGTTCAGTTTTCGCGCCGTTGACCATCAATTGGTGTTCTGGCATCTTCAGCACGCATACGGCATGGGTTTGTTCAAGATTTTGGTCATTTCCATCGAGGAAGTCAAGATCATCTGCGTACTGAAGTTCAGGGATAGATGGTGCTAGGCCTGTGCTTTCTCTTCGGAACTGATGTCTCAGCTGCTGCAGAACATGTTCAAAATAGCACGTAAACAGGATAGGGCTCAGGCAATCTCCCTGTGGTGTGCGCATGCCAGATTGAAAGGCGTCTGCAGTCTGTCCGCATACTCGAACACTGAGCGTTGTGTCTACAAGCAGCGTTGAGACCATGGCTCGAGCATCAGGTACGCCAGGCGCTACAGTGAGGATTGATTCAAGCAGGCTGTTTCTATGCGGAGTGTCAAAGTCCTTGGAGAGGTCGATGCCCAGCTTGTTGAATGACCACTGCTTATTTTCTACTAAACTGCTGAGAATACGAAGAGTGAATACAATATCACTCGTCGACCGGCCTGGTCTGTACGCACTCTGTGAGGATGGCAGGTACTGTTCCACCTGGTGTTGAATCCGTCGCAGTGTGATACTTGACAGGATCTTTCTAACTGAATTCAGAAGAACAATTGGACGAAGGCTGCTACATGGACCCTTGGGTTTCCCCGGCTTCTGCAGAGGTATCAGCACGCCAGCACCAATCGCAGGATATGGTGTCGCCGACTCTACAGAAGTTTGTACGATGTGAGCAATTGATGTACATAGAGGCTCATTGCAGGCATATTTAAGCATCTCGTTGGGAATTCCATCTGGCCCTGGTGACTTGCCATTCTTCAGTCTGCGTATGGCAGAGGCCACTTCTGCTGTCGTTATGGTATTGGTTAGAGTTGTTGTTTCCTTCTTTAACGGCTTACTGCTAGAGTCTGAGAACTGCCCACAAAAATGGTCTGAGACTCGCCTGGCTTGCTGTGCTGGGTTGCATATTCTTGCGCCTTTCCCATCATCAACAGCTATACCAGACCTTCTCGGCCTGCAGAGGGCAGCAACAGAAGCATGCATTTTTGAGGTGTCGTTTTTGATGCATTCTATTTCCACTGCCTTGGCTTCCAGACGGTCTGCTTCACATTGCTTGACTGCAGCACTCAGCCGATGGAGCAGGTGATTTCTTTGCGTTTTCAGAGCAGTTTATTCCTCGACATTTGGTGTTGCATTGATCTGGATTCGTAATTGTTTCTGGCGCGTAGATAGATCACTGATCATCGGTGACATAGCCGTCAGGCGAAATAGCACGTCATTGTACATTCGAGATCAGCGGGAAGAAGATGACGACGTCCACTTATTTAGTATCTGTGCACACGGATCTGCTGTGTGTGTTACTCTGTGTGTCACCTATGGCATCATCGCCTGTGGTTCCATGCCTAGCATGTACATCTGAACCATCCTGCCAAGTTTGAATGACGTAGGTTGAGCGATCGCTCCGCGAAACATACTTTTTGAAATTCTCTTCATAGTATATCTTCCACCATTGAAATTTCGAATTTTTTTGCTGAGAGGGGTGGCTTGCAACCTCGATATGGCTTGTTCCAGGCATGCTTTGGAGCCATCGCCTGTTGAAACAGTGGCAGGAAGCTGCCCTGCAACTGTTCCAACAGGAAATTAATCGATCCGAGAAAGCGCGAGTCCGCGAATCTCTGTTGAATATTGAGTATTTCAAGCCTTTTCACGACGAAGATGGAGTTCTTTTTGGAGATGGACGTCGCGGCAAAGGACATGGTGTCCGACTTCTGGCGTCTGGTGAAGCCAGGGATCATTTGTCCAGTCAGGTTAGCAGCCTAACCGTCGGTAAGCTTGTGTTTGGATCCCGTTCTGCTCGATGTGGTAGATCACAAACAATTTGATATAGCACAAATTGATCTCAGCATCGTGCGTACGGTATTTTATATTCAGAAAATCCCAAAGTGTCTCTGTGTGGCCGTCCTATGCCACGAGAAACTCCAATCAGGCTCCTATGTCGTCTGCCTTCATGATTGAATGTCCACTTCATTTGAACAACGAACACAACAATCGAGGACGGCTTTGCAATGAAAAATACAGGTATACTGGAGCTGAAAAAAAGAAGCAAAAACGTGCTCAGGATGAGACTCGAGTACACGCATACTCTCCCAGGAGGTGAAACACAAATTTTTGTGAAAAATGCGTGTCGCCGACTGACCAGTAATTTCGCCTGACGTGGAAGACTGCCTTCCACAGGTGTCTTTGCCCAGGACAGCCTCCGCTGAGCACTTGATAGTCTCTGCAAGCTTTTCCCATGTCACGCCACTGTCCAGGCTGGATATTGCATGCGATATTGAGTTTCTGTACACTTGCTGAAGGCTGGAGTTTGTGGAGAGCTTTTCAATTGGTATGCGACCTTCCTTCTGTTTACTGCAGTAGTGGCTGGCTGCTGATGGCTCTTGATGGCTCAACCATGGTGGTCACTACCATCTTGTGATCAGATGCCAGTTCACATCCCGCATAAGCTCTACTGTCTTGCAGTCCGTGGCATATTTTGTCTGGGATCAGCACATAGTCAATTTGGTTATAGATATTTACATTTTGTTGATTACGTCGGATGGTGCCAGTCCAGGTAGTGATGTGTCTGGCAGGGTGCTGAAACGTAGTATTTGCGAGTCGCATGCCGGTTTCCTCACAGCTCTCCAACAGCGCTTCCCCGTTCGAGTTCCCTCAACCGTTCGCCCACCTCCCTAAGCAAGTGTATGCGTCGGATGCGTGGCGGCGGCCGACCTTAGCGTTGAAGTCGCCTCCCACGAGCACGAGTGTTCTCTTGGCAAAACTACGAATTAGAGTGAGCAGCGAGTCATAGAATTCCTGTCGTAATGCGGGAGTCTTCTCAGACGTTGAGCATACAGCTAGCCGGAGACTGAGCATACAGCTAGCCTCGGTATGTATCAGAACATCAGGATTACTACTTTCCACTACTCAAGACAGGGGAGGGAGTTGCTGTCATGCTA